CCTCCCACATTCACTGAACTAATCAAGGCCCTCCGTCAGTTATCAGCTATGAACTCAGGCTGGAATGATGTTTAAATGATGATTAAATTTCCCACATTGGCCAACACATAAGAATTTGCTTTGTGAGTTCTCTTGTGTTGAACAAGGCTGTACGTTCCACTCATTTCCTGCATTCATTCATATGACTTTCCTCCAGTGTGAATCCTCTTGTGTATATTTAAGGCAGAAACTATTGCTAAAGGATTTCCTAAGACTTTCCTCCAGTGTGAATTCACTTGTATACAGTAAGATTTATTCCTGAACAATTTCCAACAAACTGTGCACTAAGAAGATTTTTTCTTCAATGTGGACTCTCTGATGTTGAATGTGGCTAGCACGATCCTTAAATGATATGCCACATTCATCACATTTATGAGGATTTTCTCCTGTGTGGATTCTTCAGTGTTCTGAAAGAGTGGAGTTCCTAGTAAAGGACTTCCCACACTCACTGCATTCCTAAGGCCTCTCTCAGTGTGAATTCTCCGATGTGTTCTGAGAGCAGAGCTACTACTAAACTTCCCACGTTCACTGCACTTATAAGGCCCTTCTCCAGTGTGGACTCTCTGGTGTGGAATGAGGATAGGACTACTGCTGAATAATTTCCTACATTCACTACACTCATAAGGCCTTTGTCCCATGTGGACTTTGTGATGTTTAACAAGACTGTAGTGATTCCATAATGATTTCCCACATTCTCCACACACGTAGGGACTCGACCTTATGTGAGTTCTCTGGTGTTGACTGAGGGTATAGCTTCAGCTAAAGGACTTTCCACATTCATGGCATTCATATGGCCTTTCTCCAGTATGAATGATCTTGTGGGCAGTAAGATGGGAGTTTTTCCTAAATAACTTCCCACACTCAGCGCACCTATAAGGCCATTCTCCAGTGTGGACTCTTTGATGTTGAAGGAGGCTGGAAGGATCATGCAATGATTTCCCACATTCTCCACATTCATAAGGGTGTGATCCTGTGTGGATTCTTTGGTGTTGAAAAAGAATGTACCTTTGGCGAAATAATTTCCCACATTCACCACACCCATAAGAGCTAACTCCAATGTGAACTCTCCGATGATGTGTAAGGCTGGAATTTCTGCTATAGGATTTACCACATTCACTACATTCATAAGGCCTTTCTCCACTGTGAATCTTCTTGTGTTCAGTTAGTTGGTAGTTTGGTCGAAAGGACTTCCCACATTCGTTGCACTCAGAAGGTTTTTCTCCAGTGTGAACTGTCTTGTGAACAATAAGGTTGGCCTTATGACGAAAGCATTTTCCACAGTCACTACACTCCTAAGGCCTTTCCCGTGTGGTCTTTCTTGCTGCATCCGTAAGGTTTTGCATCTGTGTGAATTTGTCGGTGATTAATAAGACTGGAGAACTGTCTGAAAGACTCCTCACATTCACTACACTTATATGGTTTTTCTCCCGTGTGAATCCTGTTCTCCTGTGCAAGCCTGGAACTGCAGTTACTGGCGTTCCCACATTTGCTATTCTCACAAAACCCCTCTCCAGTGCAGACACTCTGGTGATGAACAAGTGTGTGCTTGAGTCTAATATTCTTCCCACAGTTACACTTGGCATGATGACACTTTCCGCTGTGCAAGGACTGTCCACATTCAAGCCTGGTCAGGGGCTTCTCACTGATGGGCAGGGTCTGATACTGCAGCAGGCCTGAGGGGACCTGGGAATCCTTTTCAGTCTCCATAGAGGTGAAGTGTTTGCCTGACACTTGGAATTTGCAGCTCTTCAAAAGCACGTCCTTGTCGATGTTCTTCCTGAAGGGTTGCATTCCACTGGGATGCTTCTGGTGCTGGGAAAGGTTTACAACCAACCAGGAAGGAGGCTCTCACACACACCCCACCCAAGTATGGTTTGTCTCCAGGATCTGCTTTGTGCTTAAAGAGATGCAAAATGTCATCCAAGATTGAAATATACTTCTCACAAGGGTGCGTCTTCTGGGGACATGAAGCTGCCTGTGGAGTCTTAACCTGTGACACTCCCACGGAAACAATCTGCTGAAAAGTCATCTCCTCCTCCTCTGTCCCATGACAACCTGAAAGCAAAGGAATACTTTTTATAAGAATAAATAAAAATGTGTCAGAAGGATTCCATAGGGTTATTTTGGGGAGACAGAGCTGTGGGAAAGCTGAAGAAGAGGTGTCTGTCTCTACTCGACTTTGTCACAGAATGGGGGAGGCCACACAAGAAAGCGGGCAGGTGGCTAAGGTACAGCCCGGCAGGAAGACACAGCGCTCCCCACTTGTCTGCCACGTGGCTTCAGCGGAGCCATATCTGCTGATGGTGTGCACGTGGGTGCTCCAAAACAACACAAGTAAAACCAAGTGGCTCATGCTCGAGGGCTGTTGAAGAAGAAACCCATTATGTGCAGGCCAGTGCTGGCCAGCACCGCAGAGGGAGCAGCAGAGTGTTTCCGAGGACATGTGGAGGACAGAAAGATGACAGCAGCCAGTGTTCAAAGGCACAGTTGAAATGAAAACTTAGGTAAGCATTGAGGGAAGAAGAGACAGAAGTGAAGTAAGGCAACTCAAGAAACCAGTGATGGACAGAAGGCAGGTTCCTGTTACAATCTGAATACAACTCTGATGTCCCGCCCTCCCCTAGTTATGGCTGGTGAGCCTGAACCGCCGACCTGGAGGGGCAAGGCAACTTTGCTGTCCAGCAAATTAACCCACAGCGCCACACCAGGACCCCGCTTTGTAGGTAGATGTCATAATCATCTCCATAATGAGATCTAATGTCATGTAATCATCCCCACGACCTCATCTGATATGGTCAGCCCTGAGCTGATGGGATGATCTTATGTGTTGTAAACATTCATTTCCATGTCAAGGAAGCCAGATGCAATATACAGGATTAGTTTATATCCTAAATCAATCTCTTGTGAGACATAAAGTAGATTAAATAAGCAGGCAGAGCTCAGAGGGACCTGCAACCACCAAGAAAGAGTCCGGAGTGTAGTGTGACCTTAGGACCCTGGGTCACAGTACTGTAAAGCTCCTGGACACAGAGGAGGATGGATGTCAACATGTATGAAGACCTCTGAGGAGTGGGCCTCCAGGTGATGAAAGGGGACGAGTGAGCCTTCCTCGGCAGCTAGCGCTCTGAATTTAGACTTCCAGGTTCCTAAGCTGTGACAGACAGTCTGGGTTAATGTGCTGGACCACAAGCTCAGCAGTTCAAACCTACCAGGCACTCCTTGGAAAGCCTATACAAGGTAGCCATGGGTCAGAACTACGTCGACGGCACTGAACACCACCACCACACCGTGAGAGAATACGTTTGTTAAAGGCATACACCTGTGGCATTTCTGTTACCGCAGCAGCAGATGACTAAGCCACAGGCGGTACAGATGTGGAGACACTGCCAGACAGGGGAGGGCAGGTAAGGTAGGGTGCACTGGACTGAAGAGAAGACTCCGATGCCCAGACTCTCCCCTGTACACTCAGTAGTGCTGTTTAGGGAATGTGCTGGTCAGCTCAGCCTGGGGCCCTATAGCACCTATTAACTCTCTGGTGTTGAGTAAGGGTGGAGGTCTGACTAAAAGACTTCCCACACTCACTGCACCCATAAGGCCTTTCCCCAGTGTGGCCTCTCTGGTGCTGAATGAGCCCAGATCTTTGGTGAAAGGATTTCTCACACTCACTGCATTTATAGGGCCTGTCTCCAGTGTGAGACCTCTGGTGCTGACTGAGGGTTGAGCTCTGGCTAAAAGATTTCCCACATTGACTGCACTCATAAGGCCTTTCTCCAGTGTGAATCCTCTTATGTTTCATGAGAACACAGTTGTGGGCAAAGAATTTCTCTGGTGTCTAATATGGCTGGAGATTAGGCTGAGAATGTTCCCACATTCACCACACTCGTATGGCTTTTCTCCATTGTGAATTCCCTGCCACTGAACAAGTCTGTACTTGTAGGTGACTGCTCTCCCGTATTTGCTATCCTCACAAAGCCCCTGGCCTGTGCCGATGCTGTGGTGGTGATCAAGTGTCCGCTTGTGGTGAACACCTTTCCCGCATTCTCTCCATCTGTAACAACTTCTACAGTGAAAGGTCTCTCCACACTCAGAGTTTTTAGTGGTACCTCATCATTGGGATTGACCTGATGCTGGAAAAGACCTAAGGGGACATGACAGTCTTTCTCAACCTCCCCATGGATAAAGTTCTGCCGTGACACTTGGACTCTGCAGCTCTTCACCAACGTTGACCCATCACATCCCATCTGTGAGGTTTCTCTCCTATTTAGGGTTCTGGCTCTGCGAAGTGTTTGCACTGAGACCAGAGGCTCTCATACACACCCCACCCAAGTACAATTTCTTTCCAGAGTTTGTTGCTTTGTGCTCAACCATAATGTCTTCCAAGGCAGGGACACGCTTCTCACAGGGGTGAGTCTTCTGGGGAGATAGACCTGCCTGTGAAGTCCTGACCTGTGACATTCCTTCAACAGGAACATTCTGCTCAGAAGATGTTTCCTCCCCCTCCACTGCATGCCAGCTACCTGAAACCAGAGAAACGCTGATAATGCATGTCGGCGTTTATGGAGGGGAGATTCCCCATCACAAGCACGGTTCACAGACACAGTGCAAAGAGCCCTGGGATCCTTCTGACGATGAGGGAGCTGGGGCCAGGCTCATGAAGGGCTGTCTACCAATACTGATCATTTAACTGTCACAGAATGGGGGAAGCCTCACCGTATGAGGGTCACAAGCATGGGGTGCAGCTCAGAGAGAAAAAGCAGGGTAAGAGGATCAAACAAACCCACTTTCCTCACACCAATTCTGAGGATGTAAGAAATCCTGACCTTTCACCTCTCTGTTCCTTTCTGTTCTGAAAGCAGTTGCACATCTGCACTTGGTCCTTGACCTCCGCCACCGCAGCCAGGTTAGAGCTCACAAGTTAGAGGCCCCAACTTCCAGACTGCCAAGTAGGTCGAAGACAAGTGTGAGGCCACATAACATACTGACTTGTGACCTGCTAGCTACAAACCTGGGGTTTCTCATCACCCCTTCAGGATGTTAGCCAAAAGCTTAGGAACCCCCCGTGTTGAGCTCCCTAACTTCTAATCTGCTAGCTACGAATTTGGGGATTGTCTCTATCCTCTCAGGATACCAGCTATAAACTAGAGAGGTTCCAGCCTCACCTTAGCCTTGATCTCCTGGCTCCCCAAATTCCCTTTGGTTTGATAATTAATTGGAATAACTCACCAAACTCACGGAAAGCACTACACTAAAAATTACTGCAAAAAAAAAAAGGATATAAACCAAGAAACATAAAAGGAAATGTCTATGAGGGCTCTCAATGCGAGGTGTTCCTGTCCCCCGGGAAGGGATGTGATAGCCTCCTATGTGCCAACCAGAAAGCCCAAGGAGCTCCAGCGTTCCAAGCCTCTACTGGGGCCTCATTATGAAGTACAAGTGGTAGCCCCTCTAGGCTGAAGGTCACCGTGAAGTATTGTGCAGTGGGTCTCTGGTCCCACTTCAGGGAGACAGGGGTGCTCAGGAGTCGTTACCACAGACATTTACAAACCAAGGGTTTTGTTAGTTTTAGAGATGATCTCTCAGGAACACAGTGCAAAAACCAAATTCTTTGGGTAAAATCAATGCCAAGCTCACAAGGTCTCCAGCATGCTCCTCTGCTGTTGGCCTTCAATAGCACTTTGTCACCTGGTGACACATGCATGAGGAACAGATGGCTGCTTGTGTCTGGGTCCAGAACATCCAGCTGGACTTGAGTAACTGGTGCTGGCAGACTACTTAAGAATATGAATAAACTTCACAACACACTCCATGAGAGTCGCTGAAGAACATTGAAAGAGGGGCAATGAAGAAGAACTAGTGGTTAAGTGTAGGCCCGAGAGGTGGGGAGAGCCAGGGGATGTGAGACAAAACTCAGAAAGTGTCATGAATGGGAAAGAAAACGTAGTTGCTAGTGGCAGATTGCTAGTGGCAATTTGGTAGGAGCTCTGGTAGCGTAGTGGTTACGAATCAGGCTGCGAACCTGAAGGTCAGCAGTTCGAAACTACCAGCTGTTCCATAGGAAAAAGATGAGGCGTTCTGCTCCCATAAAGATTTATAGCCTTGGAAACCCTGTACAGGGTCGCTATGAGTCGGTTCTGACTCTACGGCACATAACCACCACTACCAGTGGCATTTGGAGTCCTGGTGTGGCGCTGTGGGCTAATGCACTGGACTGCAAGGTCGGTTTGAACCGCAAGGTCAGCAAAGTCTCAAGCTTACCAGCCACTCCTCGGAAGCCCTGTTCAAGGTTGCTATGAGCCAGACCCACCTTGACAGGACTTAACAAGTGGAATTAACGAAAACACTGGAGGCACAGGACAGGTTGTTGGTATGATCTAACAGCACCTCTACTGTTCTGACCTTTCCAGCTCTGGCTCCTAAGGGTCAGGCCTCTTCTAGGACCAACGGCCATGTCCGTCCTGAGAAGCAACAGAGGTCTCCCTCAACCCACCTAATCACGATGAGATCTACATGACGTCAGTTGTAAAAGTAAGGACTGTGACCAACACTGGCTCAGAGCAACTCAGCATAAAACTAATGACAAGAGAAGAAGAAATAGCACAAAAAAAACGTGACAGGAGGGTCATGTGAGCACCGTGTCATTCTGTGAAAGTCCTAACTATGATGATGATGACGATGTGACAATTCCAGGCACTGTCAGGCAGGAGGAAAAGCCAGCTAGCGGGAGGGGGCAGACCCTGGGGCACAGGCGGAGGACACACGTGAGGGGGATCCAGTGAGCTCAATGCAGGATTTCACAATTCCAGACTCTTCGCTGAACGCTCCGGACAGGCAGGTGTTAGGGCTTTTCAGGAAGTACAATGTTCAGCGAAGCAGTTAGTTCACCACAGGCACTCAAAGCACAGATGCTAAAAAGGCTACAAGTCACAGCAGTGTGGCACTATCGGATAAGCACTGGACTGATAATTGCAAGGTCAGTGGTTCAAACCCGATACATGGCTGCTATGAATTGGAATAGACTCGACTTCACTTAACAATAATAGCAATGGTCTGGCTATCTCTGGTGGAAAAGACGAAGGCAGAAACCAGAGCTGCACATTGGGGCAGGTGTGAGGGTCTTACCCAGGGAGGCTGTGACTGCAAAGGTCTCCAGCATCACATCATAATACAGCAGCCTCTGTGCCCCACCAAGGAGCCCCCACTCCTCCTGGGAGAAGTCAATGGCCACGTCTTCAAAGGTGACACCACCCTGCCATGATGGGACAATCATTCCATGAGTAGCTTTTATCTAAAATCCCATATAACAATCCCCTACTGACTCTCCTCCCACGCCTTGGTGCTACCGACGACATCTGCTCTCTCCTAATGATCCCAGTGGCCCAAGAAAGAATCCATGGGTCAGCTTCGGGCCTGGCATGTACAGCCACGTGTGCTATCTCTTGGCATGTAGTCTGCCAGATCATGCCTCCTAGACACAACCAAATATGTGCTTACCTTCAGTCTGAGGTCCCCAACACAGCATCCTGGAGTCATCAGTTCACATGTCTCTCCATATGCATACTTCTCTTTATTCTACATGTTCCCACTCTGCACTCTCACAACCTTCTCCCCTGCCTATCCCCACACCACAGCACCCCACCCTCACCCTCAATCTCTCCATATGGCACCCAGAGAGGGCTTGGCACATTTACACAAGATCCACTGCTACCCCAGACCTCCAACGATCTCCCTGCCTCACTGTTTCTTGCTTCAACCGTAATCAACAAGAACCACCTGGGATCTTGACTACACATGACCATGTTCTGCCTGCTGACCCTCACCAGTCAGTCTTCCCCATCTCACTTCTTCAAAATTAGGTCACAATGAACCCACCCCCCACAACAATTTCAGACTCCAGGGAGTATAATTAATCACTTGTGCCCATGAGCTAATCCACATACCTGATTAAAATACCTCAGACTCAGCCAAGGGTCATGACAAAATCCTGGTGAGTCCATAGTGATGTGAATAAGCCCAGCCACCAGCTCATTGTCATCTTGCCTTTATTACTCCCATGCTTCCACATCTCTCTAACGTCCCCTCCTCTCCCAGGTGTCTTAGCTACCTGCCTGATCATCCTCCCTCACAGTTTGTCCATGGCCATCTCTCTCCCTCATCTGTGTTGGTGACGCACACTAACCTCACCAGGAGCCTTAGCAAGAGTTCCATTCTTTGGTGACAACCTTTTCCTTCCCAACTGGCCAGGACACTGCTATCTCGGCAGGGTACCCATCACTAGATACGACTCCCCGCTCCATCTGGTCATCACAGTCTGCTACCTTTTGGAGATGTCTCCATCCTGAAACACTGCTCCCGAGAGTTCCAGACCTGTGTCTAACTGCTCACTTTATACTTCACTCATTTGAAGATCTTAACATTCATAGTGGCGAAAACACCTACAATACCCAATCAAAATTACTCCTACTCCTGGATGGTACAGGGGACTTGTTAACAAGGGACCTAGCACTTAGTTCAAGCTTAATAAATAGTTGATACTTAAAAACCCACAAACAAAAAAAA